TTTTTAAATTTTTATTTTGTATTCTATGGAAATAATTATTTATTGGATATTGCAAAACGTGTTTGTTTTTCGCTCTTTCCTATTACTAAGTTGAAGACCAAAGAATCGTAACAGAAAATTGGGGACTCGTTCTAAAAAGACGAGTTTCTCTAAAACATTTCAGAAAATAATTGAAATCTAAATTCCTTTCTTTTGGAACTGTTTTCAGTCCCAGTTATTTTTATCACGCATATTTTAGACATTTTTAATGAAACCAACAAGCTTTCAGAATGGTGGAGAAATTTATTTTAAATCCTATACAGGAAGGGTTAGTGTCCTCAAAAAAGAATGATTTTTTTAACTTGCCAAACAACAATTTGATCTCTCTCTCTCTCTCTCTCTCTCTCTCTCTCTCTCTCTCTCTCTCTCTCTCTCTCTCTCTCTCTCTCTCTCTCTCTCTCTCTCTCTCTCTCTCTCTCTCTCTCTCTCTCTCTAACACGAAGACTTCTTTTTTGAAGCAAGAAATAAAAAAATATTTTTGTCCAATAATTGGCGGGAAAAAAATTGTTTTGATAAAAGTGCTTTTGTTTTGATTAGTAAGTCTTTATTATCATCTGATATCAAAGTTAAGGAATTGAAATTAAAACAGAAGACAGAAATAAAGTTCAGAAATCCTCAGCTTCAGAAAAGAGAAACAACAGAGACCAATGCAGGTGAAGAAGAAGAAGAAGAAGAAGAAGAAGAAGAAGAAGAAGAAGAAGAAGAAGAAGAAGAAGAGAGAGAGAGAGAGAGAGAGAGAGAGAGAGAGAGAGAGAGAGAGAGAGAGAGAGAGAGAGAGAGAGAGAGAGAGAGAGAGAGAGAGAGAGAGAGAGAGAGAGAGAGAGAGAGAGAGAGAGAGAGAGAGAGAGAGAGAGAGAGGCTAATGCAACGCAAAGAGGAAAAAGAGGGAAATATGTTTCCAGAGAGCACAGGAAGAGGGAAATTTCAGTTTAGATTAAACAGAATTAAAGCTGGCAAGTGGTAAGTATTTCCCCATCCTCAGCCCGTTTACACGCGCACACAGTTTAGTTTTTGATGTTTCTAGACTTTATATGTTAGTAACCCCATTTAAACAAAACTACGTAGATAAACATTTTCCTCATTAAAACAAAATTACTAAAAATTTGAAATGGCCAAGATAGCATTAGACTATTATTATAAAATGCCCATACTTCACAATCAGAACAAAAAGTGCTGATTATGATACTCTTGCGAGTCTATGCTCTTAAAATAAGTAGCAGAAAAGAGTGAAAGACAACAAGCTTTGTAAAATGTAAAACAATTTATTTTCCTAGTATACAAAGTGAAGCTTAAAAAAAGAGCTTACAGTATTGGGAATTAAATCCCAATATAATCCAAGAATTTCAGACAAAAATCCGAGTAATTATAAGTCCTGAATAAAATTCAGTAAAAGTCGAGATAAAAGATACCAAATCTGAAGTCGATGATGTATCCGTTAAAGCTGTTAAGGTCTTGATATGTTAACAGTCTTTTATTGAATGACAGAAATAAAATTCCAGGTTTGAATATACTTTGAATTCCAGAGACTGTCTCTATCCAATAAGTTTGTATTTCCAGATAAAAAAATTACTTGATTAAATAAATTGAAGAAAATAAAATTCAGCCCAAAACGTTACAACATAATGCAATTTCAAAGTATTAGATGTTAAAGCACGTATGACCAAGCCCTCGCAATTCCAAGATTCTATATATCTCGAAATCAAGTCACAATTACCATTCTCTATAAAAAAATTACCTAATTGAAAATGACCTTCTAGAATGATCTTAATGTTTACAAGATCAAAACCATAAACTGTAAAATTCACCTAGGAAATCCAATAACCCTGACCCAAATAAAGATATTTACTTCTTCTATTAATAAAGATATTACTATTAAGCTCATACACATGGATAATAATTTAGCTATGTATTAGTGGTTTTCATAAAATAAAATAAAAAATTAGTCAGTCAGGTGAAGCAGAAATGAAATCAGTTTTGGATAAGGTCAAGTCCAGCATACAACGTTACATTACAAAATAATGTAATGAAATATAAACAAAATTAGCAATTAAATCAAATTAACAATGCATTACAATACATATCTTGAACTGTTATGAGAAGGTACCTGAGACATATCGACAAATGCTTATGAACTTATGCTCAAGAAAAAAAAACAATAATTATTTGACATGGGGTGCTCAACAATGGTTGGTAAAACCTACGACAACATCCGTTAACTCAAATTAATTGAAGAGTTAAAGAACTGCATCCACAGTGACATTAAAACTCATTTTAATGAGTAAGGGTGGAAACTTTAGAAGATGTTGCTCGTACAGCTAACGATGATTCATTGACAGGCAAAGTGACATACAAACACTTCCAAATCTCAGTCTGGCAAAGCTTTTACGAGCAAATTTCTGATAATACTGGTCAGAAATCCGTATATTTTATTACGTGCACCATTTGAAAATAAACAAGGGGATGCTGTTTGTTTTATTGTTACAAATTGAAATATAAGCAACAGAATAAAAGAGCTCTTCATAATGCTTTTATTTCTAAGAGACCAAGGTTACGGTATTTGTATTGAAAACAATTCATTTCTTGGGTGAAACAAGCCCCAGTCTAAATTTATTTTGATGAATTGTGAACCATTCACATCGGATGGTTCTGTGTTATGTTGCGTATATACGATTATATTGCTTGTGTGTAAGGTTTCAGATTCTTTTTATTTCATTTTTGCTTTATTATATTTAATTGCAATGAATATTTTTCTCGGATTTGGGATTCTATTTAGATATATTTTTATCACAAAGTTTGTTTACTTAAGACGAGGACATGTTAGGTGCAAATTATTATTTAGTCAGTCTTACCCTGTTAAAACTGTCAACAATAAGCTAAAGTGATTGGTCAGTATTTCGGGCATACATTATTTGCGTGATCATTGTTTGTAAAGAACCTTTTTATGATTGGTTTTTAAGTGGAGTGACATTGGTTTAAGTGTGAAAATTAGCGTAGTAAGAGACAGCATGACCAACCTCGCGAGACTTCAAATGAGGCATTAGGGTTTTAAATACACAATCCTAATATTTTTTTCGAACAGTCCTCACAAGCTTTCACACTCTGAAGAAGCAAGGTGTATATAGTTTTAATTTGTTGCTAATAGGCCTATTGTTTGTTTTTCGTCTAATTTTTGGATTTAATAATTTATTCCCCTGGAAACTCAACAAATTAACTTTTCTGTAAACATTCTGAAACATATTCATGGAAGTTTATTCTGGAATCATTCGGAAACAAATACTGTGATTCAAGTGAGGAATTACTGTTATTCATACATTGGACCACATCTGACGTCATCGCCTTCCATATTTGTACGTCGTTGGGACTCGAACCCTGAATCTAATAAGACTATTTAGTGATAGATCATGTGTTTTCATTCTTAGGATCACATTTTGGATTATATTCATAGACTGAAAGTCCTATTTAGAAATGTTTACATTGTCATCTAGAAAAATAAATTGTTTTGTTAAATTATACAAAGATTGTTTGCTTTCACTAGGTTTTTTTGTTACTGAGTACGAGCCCTTGTCACGTAAAACTTACTTATTAGTGATTCTGCGAATCTTATCCTTCTTAAAATTTATAAGAGATACACGAACTTCTAGGAGTCTTTTATTGTCAGATACTTTGCTTTAACTGAGGAATCTTCTTTTAATGGAAGAATTTTTAATCAGAGAGTAGGGAGTGCGGCTTTGTTAATTGTCCTCTCAATTGTGTAAATTTTTTATCGGACGTAATCTCAGGACCAGTGACACTTAAAACATTTATTACTAGACAGTGACCTACCTGGAGAAAAGGTTTTGATTAATTTGTTTGTAACTGACAAGTCCTGATTGGAGAAGAACGTTTATCCTAATGAAAACGAAATTCATGATTTATAGACAGTGTTAAGTGTCTAGGCTCGTACAAAAGTAAAAAGACAAGATTGAAGATAGCAAACTTTTTAAAATGTAACAAATAATTTATTTCTATAGAAAAACAAGGTAAATATGAGAAAAAGAACTTTCGGTTTACAAATCAAATCCAAAATGAATCCAAGAATAAAAAATTATAAGTCATATCAATGAAAAGTCCTAAATCAATGCGTGTTCGAGTCCCGATGAAATCAAAATGGAGGGCGATGACGTATGTCGTGAACTTCAAATTGTTGCTGTCAACAGTTCCTTGTTGAATCACAGAAAAATAATATTCCAGTTTAGAATTTATGAACAAATTTCGATAAATTTCTTTGTCTAAGAATTTATGTATGAGCACTAGCATTTTCCATGGAAAGAATCAAAGATTCCATAAGATAAAAATTCAACTAAAACTGGTCATAAAAAGATACCTTTAAGTGTTGAAGACTTTTTAGCTCAACTGGCTAGTTCTTCTCAAGAAAACGGTTATACAGTGAGTTAAGACAAAACAGATTCCCATATGAGGGTCACGTAGTCAACGTTTAGAACAACTTATAATATTTTGTACAGGCTAATTATCTCGTACTCTAGGTATGGCTTTGAATGTACTGAATGAATCTTATTCTTAGAATGAATAAAGAAATTGAATAAAAAACAGTTGTTTACTAGAACTCTGAATCAAGGTCAGAAAATATATACAGTGTTTCAACTGCTGGTTGTTTATCAGGTCAAACATTACTGAATTTAATTTTCAAAAACTAATATAAAATGCAGTAAAAACAGTTATCATATAATGGAATAAAAAAAAAATAAAAATTTAAAACTAACATATACATAACAACAGCTTGTTCAATTACTAAAGCTATGAAAAAAAAACTCCTTAGAATGATGTTGATCGGAAAATGACTTCTTTAGATGACACATTTTTTTTTGGTCAAGCTGTTGATGAGGTCACCTTTTCTCCTGGTATAAATCAAATGGTATTGATCACAGGGACCCTCAGTCTACTACTCATTATCTTACCATAAGAGCTCCGGTGGCCTAGTGGTTAGAGCGTCTGCACCGGAGGAAGAAGGTTGTGGGTTCAAACCCCGGCCGAGTCATACCAAAGACTTCTAAAAATGGTACAAACAGCTGCCTCGCAAGGCGCTCAGCATTGATAGTGTAGTGTTAAGACTGGTCGGCCTGGTGTCAGGATAATGTGACTTGGTGGGACATCATGATACATGTCTGCGGCATGATGCCCCAGTGCTAGACATCTGATTAAACTGTCACTCTTGCTGACATCGTAGCAATATGACTGAAAAATTGTTAAAGCTACGTTAAAAATCTAAATCACACACACACACACGTACTCGAATCATCATGACAAACGACACTCATTGTGGAACAAACACAATATCCTGATATTTCTTGTTTGTTTCAGATGTCTTTTACCTTAACTGAAGCAACGCAAGTACATATTTATTATTTTGTTTTAAATAGCGTCCTTGTGAGCAAATGGACACTACCTAAGGTATTTCATTGTGAGCTATCATGTGTTTTATTCCTAAGTCTTATAGACCGGAAATTATTATTAAATTCATTTGGCTGGTCATTTAAGGGTCATTCAAACTTATCACAAAATCTTGAGTAATTTTTACTGTCGAAAAAATCAAAGATGACGTTGTAAATACTGTAGATTTTGTCAGACATGTCAAATGGTAGGAAAACGCAGTCAGAAAATACCAACTGCTCATTTTAAACATACTTCTGCATATACCAGTCACGAACTGGCAGAGATTTTTGGCCCCTTATTTGGGAATAAATAAAAAATGAAAATTAATGTATGTTAGAAATATATGGGAAAGGAGTTTTATGTTTGTTATAGAGTTCTAGCTCTCTAATCCATACTTCAAAGTCCTCTTTAAGCTAAGTTTTATGGTTCTTATAAATATAGAAAGAACGTGACTTCAAGTTCATCCTTAATATATCCTTAGATGTTAATGGTAAATGAATATGATAATAGATATGCATGAGTTAATAAGGTATTCAATATAGTTGGACCTGTCCCACACTGTGAGAATTTAAGCGATAGACGGTGGTTACTTTGATGAAGCAAATCTTCAAAATTCAGAAATATGGAATAACATGGATACAAGAGACTTTCAAATATGCAGCTACAAGACGAGAGTTAACTAAAAGAGTTATTATTTGAATATAAACAATCTTTCCACATGTTTCAACACGAATAAATAAAATCTACCATGACTTTGAAATTGTAGATTCAACTAGTCCTGTTGAGAAAAGAAATTCAGTATTTGCTGGAGATTGATTTCATAGAAGCAAGTAAAAGAGAATGGAGTTCGCCATGTATTCTTGTGCAGACACCAGATAATACTTTCCACATATGCAAAGACTATAGAAAAGTAAACAGTGTGACCAAAACAGATTTACTTTCATTGCCAAGGATCAATGACTGCATTGACAAAATGCAAATGTCACTAAATTTTATGGTTTGAAATTCTTGAGACGGAAAGGGACAAGGAAATGTCTGCATTCCTAACACCGGATGCACTTGAGAACCAACGAAATGTCTGCATTCCTAACTCCGGATGGACTTGAGAACCAAGAAAATGTCTGCATTCATAACTCTGGATGGACTTGAGAACCAAGAAAATGTCTGCATTCATAACTCCGGATGGACTTGAGAACCAAGGAAATGTCTGCATTCCTAACTCCGGATGGACTTGAGAAGCAACGAAATGTCTGCATTCCTAATTCCTGATGGTCTTGATCGATATTATCATGTGCTCACTCTGGCTTAATTTCCAGCTCCAGCTTTTTTGCATTTAAAAAGTTATTTCATCTTTCAGGACTTCAACTGTCCTTGAATTGAAACATTGAATTGGTTATAATATTATGATGTACTGGTAGTATATAAATGGTAGTCTGATAACAGACGATATGTCCATACAAATTATGGCCTGTCGCATTAGCTACTTGAATGTGAAGAAACTGTGTAAGTATCGTATTTTACAGATAACATAAACTCTGCTTAACTAAAATAGGGGATTTGTTCTATCTTCAAAAGTAAATAAATAAAAATAATATACCATGATTTAGATATTCTCTTTATTTCATTGCATGTAATTATAACCAGCAGTCTCAACAATTTATATCAAAAGGTAATACTGATCACATATAATTTATAAGATTTGAGAATATTAATGGGAGCAACATTAAAATCCCAATAACAATCATAATCAAATTGAAAGAAATATCGTGTGATATGGATGACCATTTCTATTGCAGTAAAAATAGAGCCATACATATGAACTGAAATAAGTACGCTTTTATGGAGGCTGTTTAGCCCCTACATACATGTACTCAGCGCTATATCTTTGGCTTGAATTATCTTTAGTACAGAAATTTAAAAAATACTTATATTGAAGAAATGAATTATATTTTCTGATATTGTTACATTCAGTTAATTTCTGTGTAGAGAGTGTTAACATTTCCTATTGGTTTTGGAAGCCGATTTGCAACATTGAAATACAACGCATATTGCATTTGCATAAGAACCCTATGCCCATTCAAGCGAAACCACGTGATGAGCATGATACACTTATTCAGAACCATCGGCTGTACTACGTAATACATATTGGTTACAGGTATTTATGACACTATAAATAGTAGCAATTGTTAAAATATGGTAAAAATATTTAATACTAATTATATTATTACACTTTTAATTACAAATGTACGACTAAAACAATATAAGCATTGGGTTAGATGTACAACAGTAAACACTGGCCTCCATTTGAGGCGTGGTGCGGAAAAATTAGAACATGCACTATGCGGATGTGTTATCTCTGCAGGAGATGGTAAGAGGTGTCACGCTTGCAAAGTTCCAGATATAAAGTCATGTGCAAGCTATAATCTACCTGTCTTGGGAATATAATAACCATGTGCTGGATGTCTAAAGATTGTCGCAGGATAGTGCTAAACTCTTACGCAGGGTTACATGACCAGCCGGAGACCGACATCTTGAATCTTTAAAGGCAATAGATCACACTATCTAATAAAAGGCTTGTAGTTATCACCCCTATATAGTAAAGCTTAGCCAAAAGATGAAAGGTAAGCCCGCGGGGTAAACAGGGAGTGTTCTCATCCGTCCCCACGTTGACAAAGAGCGAGAGGGTAATGGGCCGCTAAGTTTGATTGGATCGGTTCACAGCGATATCCAATCTGAATTGAGATAGAGAAGATGATTACAATTCCGAGCCGAATGATAACTGTCAAAACTTGTAAAAGAAAATTTAGTTTTTTTTCTGAAAGGATTACGGATCAATATGGTTTACTCTGAGAAGAAGCCACTCGTAATGTGGCAGCAAACCTTAGAGGTAGATTCTAAGAAAATACAAAACTTTGAAAAGGTCAGTAAGTTATTTGCTCGATGTTTGCAGAATATTACGGCACTATAATTGTGATCATTTGTAGCATGTATACATAATTATTAGGATTGGTTTTTTTATGTAGAATTCCCTTTGTGGTGTTTTATTTACATGCGTATTTGAGAAATGACCTTGAGCCTTACGTAGAGAATTATTAGATGCGAGGCGGAATTATGTAGATTGTTAGCTTGCGGTCAGAATTAATTTTGTAATTCTCTGTTAGGTTACTTCTTAGTAAGCTAGTGAATTTATCAATGCCTTATTTTAGAATTTACACATGCTTGAATTGTAAATTTGGAATGGGTGAAGTATGTAACATTAGTGCTCTGGACGTATCATAGCATAGATATTTAAATATTTGTATGTACTTTGTACGAGTTGCAAGGTAAAGAAATGCGCCTGATTATTATGATATTGTTTAGTATAACGGGATGAGGAATATGTACTGATGTGACGGAATTTATTGATCTATGTATAAGAAGTAATTTGATACCTTGTTGTATTTTGATGTTTATATTACCATGCAAGATCGCATGGGTATCTCGATGTGAGCAAATGCGTAAGGTGAGGAATTTAATAGCTATTATCTGATGATAGGGTGTGTATGATGTTTAATGAGATGGCTAAGGAGAAAGATTGTACCGTCCTAGTGTTTTCACTGAAAGCTTTTTAAGGGACACAGAAAAGTAGGGTTCCATTGGGTCTCTCGTCTTCAGAGTCGGAGACAGAAATGAGACTGTAGTCGAGACAGTCGAAGTCCACAGAAGATTAGTCGTGGCAGAAAAAGCGGATGAGGAGGAGAAGGAGGTTAGAGAAAGACTTGGAGGAATTTGGAATTTGGAGAAATGTCGGGGAGGAAGAGAAGGAAGTGGGACAAATAAAAGAGAGAAAGGATACAACCGGTGAATATAAATACAAGAACAGGTCTAAATCAATTTCACACTGCTAATCAAGTGATGCAAAAAGCTTTTTAAAGGGTCGAACTAAAGGAGTGTAATTGGGAATTTGACTCGTTTGAATTTTGGATTGTTATTAAATTGTTATTCATTAAATTTCAACCGTTTTTGTATACTTAACCATCAATTCGTGATTATCCTCAGCTGTTTTGCCTTCCCTTGATGAACGGCCTATTCCACTTCAAAGTCATTCAACTCATTTATAAATTAATCTAAGCAGAGCTGTTTTCAAGTCTCCATCTGTGCAAAGGCATATGCCAATCGAACTCACCACTTTATTTCCCGGACCATCTCAGGAAGTGTCTCGTCCTTTTTTCGTAATCGTGTTTTCATCTGACACCTATCTAATTCAGCTCGGTTGTCGGTTGGAAACGTATAGTTAATGCAGCAACTAGACTTGCAAAATCTCTGTGATACTGAGAGGTCGCTCAAACCCATTGGGAAATTTCTCCCCAAGCAGTAGCTAACTCTAGAGCTTTGCTTCATTTATCCGATTTATTAATCTTAGTCACTAGTTTGAAATGGACAGTATAGTACGCCCAATTTATTATACCATCATAAACGGCCTGTTTCTGACATTTCAACTGACCGCCATTGAGTCTGACATGAGAATGTCTTCCACTTAAATTACCTTGAGCATCACTGACATCCTCTAACGTCATGACCGCTTGCCAGTTCCATCACCATCATGGGAAACAGAGGAACCAAAGA